TGCCCTTTGTGAAGAGGTACATTCATTGGTGCGGTAGCTCAGTGGAGAGCGCAGAATGGAGGTGTGGCTGGCTGCAGTGCATGTGTACCTCACAAAAGGGGAGGGGTCTGAATCAGGCTGCGCTTCATGTAGGGCCACATTCATGGGTGCGGTAGCTCAGTGGAGAGCGCAGAATTGAGGTGTGGCTGGAGTGCATGTGTGACCACAGAAAGGGCAGAATCTGAACAATGTGTAAAGCACCAAGTCGAACAAAAGCCTGAAGAGAGATGCTCCGAGTCTTGTTGCCTGCTTGATCTGATGTATGTTGAGCTGTCCTGAGTGGCAAAGCAATCATTGCTGCAGCATTGCAACCATTCTGCTCCAGCACAGGGCAAGTGAACAAATGCTCCCCTAGCTTCTGACAAGGTGATGATGGATGCAGCAAGCTACACTGGCTGAGATCCAATGCGCAAGTGGTCCTTGGAATGGAATGCATGGGGAGGAGCATGATGCTGTGGCAGACAATTGTTACATGCATTCTGATCTGCTGGTGTGGCAGTGCTGCAGGGTAGCAGCAGGCTGAGATTGCCCTTTGTGAAGAGGTACATTCATTGGTGCGGTAGCTCAGTGGAGAGCGCAGAATTGAGGTGTGGCTGGAGTGCATGTGTACCTCACAAAAGGGGAGGGGTCTGAATCAGGGGGCCCTTCATGTAGGGCCACATTCATGGGTGCGGTAGCTCAGTGGTAGAGCGTGGGATTGCAATTTTGTGGCAATTACCCCAAGGTCTCGGGTTCAATCCCCGATTGTGCCTTTTGTTTTGCATCGTGTTTCTTCAACAGCAGGTGCACATCTCCCGCGCGCGGCCGACGCTTCGCGTCCGCCTCGCGCTCTTCGTGTTCTTCATTCTAAGCTGCGGGCGCTCGTGCCGACTTCACTGGAGCGAGCGTCCAGTCCGCGCAACATGAAGCACAAAGTGCCCATGTAGTGTCCGCCGAATTCGACGCTTCGCGACTTTTCTCGCTCGCAAGAAATCTGTCTGACCTTGCGCGCCGCCCGTCGAGTCGAGGCCGTAGTCTGCCGGCATCCTACGCACACAATGGCAGCCACAGGTCAGGAAAGCAGGGACGAGTGATCTTCGGACTGCGTAGAGAATACCAATAGCATCGAGGCGCCAGTCAGGCTGGAGTGTTTTCGGAAAGAGAAACGTGCTGCTCGCGCTCGATTTCAACTTCTGAACCCCTCTCCGTCTTGACACGGAATGCGGGCGCGCGAATGTCTGTGCGCGCCGCCGTAACTCCACATGCGCATGCGCAAGCAGCCGCAGGTCGACTCACGGCCTGTTCTCCCTCGCAAGGGACGGATGGAAGGATGGCGTGCCTCTCATTGTCTTTTGTCAACCTCGACCAAACACCATCAGCTGCGCAAATACTCACCGCTCGGCCACCCACGTCTCTTGATCAACACAACACAAATCTTTCTTGTGCAGGAGACGCAATGTGAGTGCAAGAGCCTGGTCCTGGTGCATGGAAGCAGCGCGCGCACATGAAAACGCGCGCGCGCGCGCTCTCTGGATACGTGCCATGGTGATGTTCACGCACTGCCATCCCCTCTCCACAACGTCTTGTCGCATCGCAGTCAGGAGTGTGTATCAGCATCACGCGCGCAGCAGTCCACTCAAAGCCATACCTGCGCTCTTTCTAGCCCAGCGCTCTCCCATGATCCAGCAATCGCTCGCCTGTTGGCGTGAGGCGCGCAGTGTCGAGGTCGCCTAGCTGCTCGAGAGGAGCGTCGAAGCGCACACACACGAGCTCGAGAAGCGAGCGCATACACGACACCAATCCAGCATGACGCCTGTAAGCACCAGTGACGGCGCTGGTGAGCAGCGTCAGGTCACCAGCGGCATGCAAGCGGCTCAAAACCCAAAGAAAGTCAAGACGGAAGAAGCGGATGGAGTGTCAACCTCGAGCAAACGCCAGACGGTGGATGTGACGGAAGCTGCAGGCGTGGCAACGAGCTCGTCTGGCAGTGTAAAGGGCAAGACGAGTGTGACGAGGACAGCTGCCGAGGATGGAGCGGAATTAGCGCCCAAGAGCCAAGAAGAGCAGTCGCTCAGAGATCAAAAGGTGTCAGCATCAGCTGAGCCCAGTGCATGCTCAAAAAATGCCATGCCAACGCTGCCTGCACCTGCTCAGCAAATTGCGTATTCAAAGCCAGCAACGCTGCCTGCACCGACGACACCCAACCCAACTCCTGTGCGAGGTTGGCTCGGCACTGTGACCCACACAAGCAAGCTGGAAAAGCCGGGTTCCGACTTGCTCTGTTCTCTGCGCGATGCGTCTAGCGCGCCTCACGTCGCCGGTAATCGCACCTTGTGCTTCGAGATGAACATTTCGCCCGACGTGACCAGCGAGGACCCTGTACGCCATGCCATCTATCGTCACTACTGGCAGCATTTGGAAAAGTGGAAACCTCAAGAAGCTCCTCATGTCACAATGTTCGGCATCCAGTATGAGCGCACTGTGCACGTCAAATTTCTGAGCTCCGCCCAGTATCAAGCGGCGCGTCAAGCTGGCAACCCTTCTTTTGGAGGTCGAAAATTCAAGAGAACCGCTGTTGGTCTCGACCTACCCGATGGACACTTTGTGGTCAGGATGTCCGACTTTTACGATTCCCGCGGAGCTGATGATTGGACGGCCGTGACACAGTCGCTGATCTTGCATCTCAAACAGGTGGTCATCATTCATCAAATCTGGTGCGAGACCGAGAGCATCCCGGAGTGGAACATCCCTACAAGACCTGCTGGCGTCATGCTCCTGCTCGTCGAAGCGCGCCGCGCCACGGGCGAGTCTGCGATGAGCGACGCAGCTGCATCGATCCAGAAGAAGGGTGCGTGGAAGTGGCGCTCCAAGTCTTATCCTCTGCACGTTCCGCACCCGATTCGACGTGGTAATAGGTGGTAGATGGTGACGTGCAGATCAAAGTTTCGGAACGTCGACGCGCCTTTCAACATTGCGGCATGTGCCCTAACGAACATGTAGCCAACGCTGGGTTACGGTCGCTTTGCGCTGCGCCAAACACCACCACGACAAGCGTGAACGTGGCCATCCACCTTTTCGCTTCTCTTGTGCGTACATTCATCTCTTGATTGATCTCGGCATTTGTCACCTTTACGAATTTTCCGCTCCGCCAACACCTCAAAAAGTCACATTACAAGTCTTCCGCTCCGCCAACACCTCAAAAAGTCACATTGCAAGTCCTGCGCTCCGATAACATCTCAAAAAGTCACATTACAAGGCTTCCGCTCCGCCAACACCTCAAAAAGTCACATTACAAGTCTTTCGCCCCGCCAACACCTCCAAAGTCGCACGCCCCGCTGCACGCTTCAATCCATTCGCGCTCCCTTCCGCTTTCTGTACCAAGCTTGCTCGCACTGCTAGTGCGCCACGCCGTTGTGGGAATGCATACGACTACAGAACGCCAGTCGTAAGGTGATGCCGCTCATGCAGCATCGCAATTGTGGGCGAGTTCGACGTCTACCGAAAGGTGACGAGGCATGTCCCCGCCGTTCAGCACAGACCTTGCGATGATGCTCGCCAAGATTGGACGATTGCAGCTGTGAAGCGTCATGTAGCAGAAAGGGCCGGCCGGCGGTGTACACTAGCGCAGCCGTCGCCAGCCACGGCTCGTCTCTGGGCGATCACCTATATGTATTTGGCCCCCTTTTGCGAAACTCACAACCTCGCCACGCGCTGATACACTCACAACCTCGCCACGCGCTGATACACTCACATCGCATCAGTCGCATCCATCTCCATACGCTTGGCGATCCAAACGCTAACTCGATTCGCAGGTGCAGCTTTCAAGATATGCTTCACGTCTCCATCCCAGCCCAAAGCGCAAATCAAGAGCATATATGCGCACGAGCGAGAAACAGCGTCGTGCGTTCCGACTCGCGCGGCGTCGTGCACCGCCAGCAAAGTGTCATCGCTGGCTCATGCCGCGCTTTGCGCTCACCCGTTCTTCTCCTCGCACCCTCGGTCCATCTCCACGTCTCGGGCATGTCTCATGGAGTACCCTTCCAATCCGTTACCATATCCGCGGGCATCCGCCACCGTCTTTGCAGGGTCATTCATTTCACAGCGCCATACGTCTGCATCGAAGAGCCAGAGGCCCAGGTTGCACGATGCGTAGCGCATACATGCACTCGATCATAAAGAGTACACCTTTCAAGCTGTTCGTCATCTGCGTAATCTCGACTGCGCCGCATCCGCCCCCTTGCAGCATTGATCTCGGCGCCTCACTTGCTCTTGACCTTTTTGGCCTCGGCGATAGCCTTGGTCTGCTTGTCGCCCCAAAAGCCCTTGCCGATTGCCCGACGACGCTGCTTGATCATGTGCGTGTACATAATGTACAGACCTGTGGTGGGCGCGCGCGCGCGTCGATCAGTGACGCTGGCCTGGCTGCTTTGCAGCAATTTCGATGCGTTCCCGTGCACACTCACCTGGCCACCAGAGCGTCCAAAGACCCAAATACACGTAAGCGCGCACATCCCAGCCCGCCGTGCTTTGCCAAAACCACTTCTTTGGAAGAGTAGCGAGCAGCAACTGAGCTTCCGATGCTGCACCGAGGGGATACAGGATGTAGAAGAAAGTGTACCTGCCGGACGTAGCGTCCGCGAGCGAGCGAGCGTGCGTGCACGCGTGTCAGCACATGGTCTACTCTTTTGACAACTAACACCGCTCACCTGGCCCACAACAAACCCGAACCCTCTTCAGGTCCACCGCCGCTCATCAGAGCGTTAGCGTAGAAAGGGTAGCGCACGCATTCGGTGATGCTCCAAGCGAGGACCATGCTAGCAAACCAGGGATTCGCAGCAGCTCCAGGGAACCTCTCCGCCACTCCCCAAACGAGCAACAATCTGCTAAACACTTGAATGGTGGTGGTCACCACTGGGCTCTTGACCAGACCCAAAGCTGCGTGCAGGATCTCCAAAAGGGCCAGCGATTGAGTGAATGCTAGCAGTCCCCCGAGAAAAGAGTGCAGAAGGGTAGACCTGTCCCACAGCTCCTTGAGCTTCTCGGGCAACCATAGAGGAAGGGTAGGATGCACGAATCCTCGAAGTGGTCGGAAACGCGCCAAAGCTTGTTCTGCCAATCGAGTAGGCAAGGTTCGCGTTTGAGGTCCGACGGCTAGATGCTTGATGGTGACGCTCAGCACCAAAGCCCAGAGGAAGAAGCTCAAGAGGTTGTAGAGGATCAGGTATCCTCGAAGTGCGACCGAAGGCAAGCCTGCTGGTCGTCTGGCTTTGGACTTGGATTTGCTCACTGGCCCACTCTTCTCGCTCGTGGGCTTGACTACAGCGTTGGATTTCTTGTCCGCCATATTGACCAAAAGGTGGATTGCAATACGCAAAAAGGGCGCCACTGGTGAGGCAAGTTTTATCGAAGCGAGAACCCGTCCTCCATCTATATGTGATGGTGGAGAGGAGCAGGAGCGTGCGCATTGGCTGCGGGTTGGCTATAGCGTTCATCATGCATCCATTCGCGCAACGAAACCTTGCCTCGTGTGCGCGCGCGCGCGCGCCAGCCAGCCTCGCATGCCAACGGCCCGCCCATCCACGCATGCCTTGACGCTTTCATGCACAAAGGCGCCTCAGCACGCGCTCTCCGCATGCCCTGCTGGGCGCGCAAACTGCAAAGCGCAAAGGCATCGATCGTTGCTTCCTCGCCTTTTCTCGCTCGTCGCGCCGCCGCCGGCCGCCGGCCGCCGCTGCGACATTCGTGATTCTAGTATGCTCTACAAGCAAGCAAGCGCGTGCGTTCCATCGTCGATCAGAGAAGCATTCGCTCAGACTTTAGCCTCCGACCCAAACACGTACGTACGCCCCTCGCTCCTATTCACACCCGCGTACCTACGCACACACGCACATACACAGGTCTTGCGCACAAATTTGAGAAAAGGACGGCTTGAACATTTCTATGTAGGGGTCGGTCGGGCTACGACCCGATCAGATGCGCAGGAGACAAAAGAGACGCATCAGAAAAGCCGTGTAGAGCGAGAGTAGTCACGAATGTACAAAGCTGTTTTGGAAGCGAGCAAGAGGGAGAGCATCTGGAAGCCCTAATTTGCAGGCGTGGTGAGTGAGCGGGACTTGGGAACATCTGAATCTAGTGACGCGTTCGATGGGACTTGATTGATGATGGGAAGAGAGGGAGAACGCGACGCGGGCGTTGGCAAAAAGCTCGAGACTGACAAATGCGTGCGGAGAACACGGCTGGCTTTTAATGAGCTGTTGGGGACAGCCGAGACGAGGCTCTACTGCAGTGAAAGAAGCGGTCCGCGCGCTTGCGCGCTTGCGCGCTCGCGCACCCGCTCAGTTCCAGCCTCCGTCATCCTGCTGAACGTATCCACCACCATGGCCAGATCCGTAATCTCCTTGAACGTCCACCGCACCACCCCCACCACCAGCACCGCCGCCGCCGCTCTCGAATCCACCACCTCCTGCCTCGTATCCGCCTTCGTTGCCGTATCCGTACTCGTCCTGGTTCGCATACCCATCGTCATACTCGTTTCCTATTCGCAAGGATCAAAAGAAAGGCAAAAGATCGAGGAAAGGAAACGAGCAAGAGGAGCGAGAGCGCGCGAAACGAAGGAGAAACGAGATTGACGGGAACAAAAGACGAAAAGTGGACGACGGGCAGGAAGAGGAGAAGCGGGAGCGGGAGCGGGAGCAGGAGCAGGAGCAGGAAGCGAGGCAAACGTTAGACTTCCCCGAGCTTCTGGGGTTGGCTTCTCACCAACGTCCTCCGCCGCCGCCGTATGCGTTCGCACCGCTGCCACCGTAGCCGCCGCCGCCGCCGCCGCCACGGCCACCACGTCCGCCCCCGTAGCCACGACCACCGCCACGTCCACCTCCACCTCCATAAGAGCTCATCTCCATGACTTCGGCTGAGGGCGGAAAAGAATCCCAGACGGTCAGCTTTCATCTTCTCCGCAACCCACCGTTTGCGCAATACTCACGTGGAATCTCTTGCTTGGCTTCGCGAAGAATGCCGACAAGCTCGCGTGCTGATTTGGCATCCCCGGTGGTGAAAAAGGTAATGGCAGTACCCTTGGCGCCCGCACGTCCCGTACGACCAATCTGATGAATGTAGTCCTCGGTGTTGGTGGGAAAGTCGTAGTTGAGAACATATCCGATATCCTTGACATCTGTGAATAAAAACGTAGACGACGGCGACGACGCAGCGTGTGCGACGAGAAGAGTGAGCAAATCTCGAGGGCACAGGCCAACAACAAAGGTGGGTAAAAGGGAATGTTACATGAAAATGTGGGGCCTTGCCTTTGGAGTGGAGGTGGTCGTCGAGCGGCTGCCACGAGTACGCAGCGTCAACCACCACCGCGCTAGAGCGTCTGGCTTGCCATGATTTGAATCAACGCAGGTCGTTCCCGCAAGCGCGCCTCGTCTCTCCAATCGCCTGCTACGAGCCGGTGGGTATCATGCCCGACTCGTGACAGCCGCAGGAGCGAGAGCGATGGTGCAGATGGAGAAGGAAAGACTTGATCTTTGACGCTATGCGTCAGGTTAGAAGGTACTAGGCGTAAACAAACGCACTGCAACGTCGCGCTGGTTCGCAACGAGCGCGACAGCAAGCAGGCACACCTCGCGTGGATGATCATACCCTAAAGTGTTGCTGTCTACGCCGTCTGTGCAGAGGAGATCTTTTTCTTTTGAAAAGTCGCAGTGACGACGCCAATGACGGCGACGAGAGGCACGAGCTCTGTTCGCGGCGCAGGACCACAAAGCGTCTCATCGCCGCCGCTAAAGATCTCACCTGTACGAGGCGCTGCGTGGGCGCGCGCGCGCCTGCACCTTCCATCCACCTTCCGCAACCGCAAGACCAAGCGACCGCCACACCAAATGTAGAGCACCCAAAAAGTTTGCCCGACAGGCGGCAAAGAAAAAGAAGATGGAACAAGGTGCGCAACGCTACGTACCGAGACCACGACTTGCAACGGCTGTTGCGACCATGATGGGACTGCGACCGCTCTTGAACTCCGATAGAACCCAGTCGCGTTCTTGCTGTTGCTTGTCACCGTGGATAGCGAGTGCGGGCCATCCATCTTGACGAAGATACCTTGTGAGATCATCAGCGACGCGCTTCGTGCCGGTAAAGATCAGTACCTTGGCATTTTCTTGGCTGATAGTGTCGAGGTGCTTGATGAGACGTCCACGCTTCTCAAAGTCTGTGCAGACTTCAATGACCTGCTTGACGTTGTGATTAGCAGCAAGACCAATGGAGCCAATGTTGACTTGAACAAAGTTGTTCAAAAAGTCGTTGGCCAGACGCTGGACCTCCTTGGGCCATGTAGCGGAGAACATGCAAGTCTGCTTGTCGGGACGGATCTGGCTGAGGATCTTACGGATTTGAGGCTCGAAACCCATGTCCAGCATGCGATCGGCTTCGTCCATGACGAGGTAAGTGACGCGGCGAAGGTTGAGCTTGCCAGCTTCGAGCATGTCGATGAGACGACCGGGAGTGGCAATGACGATTTCCGCGCCGCGTTGGAGGTCGCGAATTTGAGGGCCCTTGGGCACACCACCGTACACTGCCGTATTGCGGAGCCTTGAAGAGGCGCCAAAGCGGGTGCACTCTTGTTGAATCTGGACAGCCAGCTCACGGGTCGGTGCGAGAATAAGCGCGATAGGACCGTCACCGGGCGCCAAGAGAGGTTGTCTGGGGCGAGCAAAGGAAGGGGTAAGCTGAAGGACGGGCGGCTGCCAAGTTTCGCGCCTACTTACGCGTTGATGTGAACCATGGCTGGCAAAGCGAAACCAATCGTCTTGCCCGATCCGGTCTCGGCGATGGCAACAATGTCACGACCAGAGAGCGCAATGGGCCAAGCTTGGGATTGAATAGCAGAAGGTTCGGTGAAGCCCATCTTTTGAATTTCAGACATGATGTAGTCTGGGAAGCCAGCCTCGTCGAAAGTCTGCACGGGCTTGGGGACGTTGGATCCGGCAATGGTCATTTGCTTCTTGGCTCGGAAATCCTGCACCTCTCTGTCTGACCGAGCAGTCACGCGTCGGTCCTCGCTGTGGGCACAAATGATGGAGTGGATGGCGCGTCAACTTTCTGCAGTCGCACTTGGTCAAAGCGACCAGCTCGTCGCTCACGTGTAAAAGTTCTTTTCGAAACGCGTAAGGCTAGCAGAGTTCCAGTCGACGGTGCGAAGGCCGTTGCCGAGGCCACCCATGCGGTCGCCTCCACCACCGCCATAGCCACCGCCACCTCCTCCGTAGCCTCCACCACCTCCGCCATAGCCTCCACCGCCCCCGCCGTAACCACCTCCTCCGTTTCCGTTTCCGTATCCGCCACCGCCACCTCCGTAGCCACCTCCTCCACCGCCGTATCTGTTGAGGACGAAGAAAGAGAGGAGGTGAGCATGTGCTTGCACGAAATTGTGAGCGTATCATCCCCACTGCTCGCAAGGATCACGAAGGGACATGAGGAAATGCATCGACCACGTGCGAGACGAGGCCACGCAGTGAAGCACAGTCGACGCACGCATCCCCATCTCGAATCTCCGTGCTGTTGTACTCACCCGCCACCGCCGCCGCCGTAACCGCCGTAAGACATGCTGTCGAGGAGAGTGTCAAGGGTTTGAAGTGGGTGTGAGTTGTGCGCGAGCGAGAGCGCTGTATGTGGCGTGTTGAAGTGTTTGATGAGCTTGAATATGAGGGTGTGCGCGAAAGCTGAGCTGAAGGGCACGATCGAGGGGAAAGAGGTCGATGATGTGGTGAAGAGGGTAGAGTTGCAGAACAGGCGCTGGCTGGCTCGCTGCTCATGCTGATTGCATGATTGCATGATTGGCCTGCCTGGCCTTTGCATGATTTACGATGGATGCTTTGCTTTCTGCCCCTGCGCCCGCGCCCGCGCCCGCGCCCGC